GGCCAGCTCCTCTTCATCTACTTCTGGCTGTCTATGTCTGGAATGCTTTTGTTCCTCCTCATGGAAGATTGTTTTGGGCTTTTCATCTTCCGACTCACTGTCTGATGGAGGTTCATTGATCCAGGCATCAAGGTCCAGGCTGGGAGGATTGCAGTAAACAAACAGCTTGACTCAGTACCCATGAGTATTTCAGTGTCTCATCAGATACTTTGCTTTATTATTTAAGAGCTTAAAAGTTTAAATAAGACTTTGGGAGAGAGAAGGAATCTTACCCCTCTGGGACAGGAACTTTCTTCTGTGCTTTAGGAGCCACAGGGTTCAGCTCACCAGCAAACAGAGCTATTACTTCCTCAGCCACAGGAACTTCTTTTGCTTGTAGCTTCTGAATATATTTTATTAGCTGCAAGATGCAAGAAGCCTAAAAAAAAAAAGCAGAAGTAATTTCAGAAGTAATATAACAAACCGTACCAAACCAACCAACTGCAGTGAAAGTCAGCAGAAGGTAAGTGTTCTACTCCATTAAGGGAACTGAGAGGAGCAGCATAAACTGCAGGTTTGGAGTACATGTAAAAAAAAATAATCTGTGTTAAGCCTCTCTTATGTGCCAATTCAATTGTTTGGAGTGAAGCTCTTGTTCGCAGCCTTCAGAGATGGCATCAAGCTGCAATAAGGTTTGCATTTTGACACTGATAACAGCTTACAGAAAACCTGCATGGCCACAGAAAACCACAGCCAAGCTCCAAGAGAAATGAGAGACTTGGCATGATAAATCCCAAAGCAATTTTGTCCTCACCCTCTCCTGAACCTCCAGATCCGCACTCTGTACGAACTGTGGCAGCCGCTCGATCATCATCTGGGTGATCTCCTGAGCTGCTTCCTTCTCCCCAGACAGCTCCTTCTGCTGCAAGATGGATGCATAGAGCTTCACCATGTTCTGAACATAGACTGCCTGGATGTGGCCTGGCAGAGTTGTAACTTTAGGCCTCAACATTGCTTCTAAGGTTTGGTTTGCCTCCTCGAGGTGTCTGTGAGGACAGAGAAAAACAGCAAAGTAAAATCCAGCAGGCAGCACTTAATACACAAAGGAACTTAGATGACTTGTTTGCACAAATCTTATGCTCTTATTCAAAATTATCGGCTCACAATTATGGGGAAGATGCACAAAAAAGTTACTGGTCTATTACAGACTGAAAACTGAAGCTCTCTCAAAGTAAAAATGTGATCAAACTGAAAAAGCAGGGTATGTCTTCTGGTTCTTATCTATAGGGGTTTTGCAGAACTATTTTCACCAGATGAAGATCTGAGATGTATCACTGTTGCTGGTGAATTTAAACTGGAGTCAGAGTTCAGAGTGGCTATTGAAAGAGACACCAAACAGATGATAAGAGGAGACTACAGTACCACACATGTCCAACCTACCAAAATGATAGCTGGCTGAGCAGTGTATCTGTACACTCAACCAAGACACAAAACTACCTAAAGCTAAAAGATCACGTTGGTACAAGAATATTAGAAATTGTGCTACTGTGGGTACAGAGAAACTCAGAGCCAAAAAGAAGACAACTTCTAATTTCCAGAAAGATTAAGTTCTGTGAAAAACTTTCAACAAGAGCAAAACAGGGAAGAGAGCAAAAACTGATTCAGACATGATGACTGGACATGTTCCTATGACATAAATGGGGATAGACTTAATGATTAAGGAGTTCCTTCAATGTCTTGAGATCTAACAGCTTATACCCACAAAATCAGAAATATATAGAACTATTAGAGAGTGTCCAGTGAAGGGACATGGAGATGGGAAGGGGCTGAGGAGAGGCTGAGGACACTTGGGCTGTTCAGCTGGAGCAGAGGAGACTGAGGGAGACTCCTCAGGGTCTGCAGCTCCTCCCGAGGGGAGGCAGAGGGGCAGCTCTGAGCTCTGCTCTCTGGGACCAGGGACAGACCCGAGGGAACATCTGGAGCTGTGTCAGGGGGTTGGGATGGATATTGGGAAAGGTTCTTCCCCCAGAGGTGTTTGGGCACTGAACAGCTCCCCAGGGCAGTGGGCACAGCCCCAAGGCTGACAGAGCTCCAGGAGTGTTTGGCCAATGCTCTCAGGCACAGGGTGGAGTGCCAGAGTGTCCTGTGCAGGGCAGGACTTGGACTGATGATCCTTGTCCCTCCCAGCTCAGGAGATCTGAGGATTCTATGATTCACTACTATGGCTTCCTGCACAAGTGAGCAAGGCTGGAGATACAAGAAAAAATGAGCAGATATTCAAAATGTCTTGGCTAGAAAGAGCTGAGGAGTCTGTGGGGCGAGGGAGCAGGATAGAAGCAATGAGTTCAGTAGCAATAATGTACATATCCTGAACCATTATTCTCTCAAATATACATTTCAGTGACCAAAACCTTTGTCTGACAGCTGCCACTCACAGCACATGAGGCTTTGTATCTGCACTTACTCTGAGAACTCCCCACAGATCCAAGCAGCAGCATAGAGCACCTCACAGATGCCATTCCTCTGTGTGTTGCTGGCTATGAGGTGAGCATTGTCCAGCAGCATTGCCATCTGAGACACTGCAAACTTCCTGATAGCTTTCACTCTGATGGCCACATCCAACATCTGAGCTGCGATGAGGTGCCCGTGCCGAGTGCCTTCCAGCCGGGTCAGCTCCACCAGGATGCTTATGTACCTACAGGGAAGGAAGGGATGCAGTGGGGTCAGTGGAGAAGCACACGAGACCTTGCGGTGTTCTCAAACTTGGCAGGTAAAGCACTGACCATTCAAAGTTGGTGATGTATTGGTAGTTGGACTGACTGCAGATGTCTATGATTTTGGTCAGCAGCTCATCTCTGTACGTTGTCCCTTCAGCTTTGTCCACATGAATCATCAGTTTCTTCACAATCTCCATCAAGTTCTTCTTTGATACCTGTTCAAGGGTTGGTAAAGGGCTGAATCAAAATTAAGCCATTTCCCATACTCCCAAGTCCTTCTAATCCAGGTTAAGCAGCTGCTGGCTCTTTGCTGGACCTGTGTCATATGCTAACAAGAAAGCAGAACCACCTCTCTGGGCCTCAGCTTTGCTCACAACCCAAAACAGAACCTGTTCATCTCTATTCAGTGTTGTTATTAAAGCAGAGACAGCACAATTACACAAGACCATGCCGTGGGAGAGGTGAGGATCAGAACTGGACCCAGGTTGGATGGGGCCTTAAGCAACCTGGTCTAGTGGGAGGTGCCCCTGCCCACTGCCCTCCAGAATGTTGTGTGGAGACCTTGCAGCAACCTTCCAGAATCTGAAGGGGCTACAGGGAAGCTGCAGAAAGACTCTTGGTTAGGAACTGCAGGGACAAGGAGAAATGGGGATAAATGAGAAAGAGGGGAAATTTAGATCTTAGGCAGAAGTTTTCCCTGTGAGGGTGATGAGACCCTGTCCCAGGGTGCCCAGGGAGGCTGTGGCTGCCCCAGCCCTGGCAGTGTTCACAGCCAGGTTGGATGAGCCTTGAGCAACTGCTCTGGTGGGAGGTGTCCCTGCCCAGGGCAGGGGGTTGGGACTAGATGATCTCTAAAGTCCATTCCAACCCCTTAACATACTATGAAACTACCAGCAGCAACATAGAAATCCAAGAGAAAATGAATCTTCTACTGCCAGACTAATAAAATTAGGTTTTAAACATTTTTGCTTACAAAGGAAACAAATTTAAGACTCATGTACATCCAATGGAATTAGAGCATTTCAAAGTGGATCATTTCCACAGTGTCTGGACTGAGAAATATCTTCCAGTCTGAATGCAAGTCTCTAAAGCCCTCTGTGTGGTGCCAGATGTTTTACTTGTCAGAAATGCCAGAAAATATATCGGAGTTGTTATCATAACTCTGCTGGGTAGAGGGGCAGAGAATGTTGTATGCTGTTCTTAAACATCACCTTCCTAAGGGGTCACAGGGGCTGGAGAGGAAATAAATGCAGGAACATACCATGCCATAGAGGAGATCTAGAGCTCTGAGCCGGATAGACTCATCCTTGTCATCCAGACATTGGAGAATGAGATCCTTGTGAGACTGAACTGACTTGGGGTGTGTTTTCAGGATTTTGGACATAGCTAACAGTCCAAGGTACTTCACTGTGAAAGACAAAATAAAACTTCTTTCCAAATATAGAAACACTGTTTTGTGCTGAGCATGAAAGCTTAATATCAAGTGAAACCAACTTTAATACACTTGAATACAATTCTGTGATGAGAAGCATTTTTGAGAAATTTATGGTCTCAGATGGCACAAATTATGGTCTGTAATTTCATAACCCATACATACAGACATGTTATTGCATGTATCTTCTTCATCATGGTCTTCTTGTACCTCAAGTTCTGTCACTGATTTTAAAACAGGCATTTAATGTATAGAAAACTATGTGTTTTGAAAACAGGCATCCTGGGATGAACACAGCTTTCAAACTGGAGTATCATAGTCCTGTTCTCATTGGGAAACATTCAGATGGCAGGAAAAAAAGAGTTGCACATAAAAGCATTTCCCAGTGGTCTTCACAGTCACTAAAGTAAGTCAACATTCTTGCACTTTACTACTATGCTCAGACTGCTGAGTACCCTCCACTGCTTTCCAAGTCTATAAAAAGGGAAGCCCCCAGAGCATGGAAAGAATTGTTTCAGTTTTACAAACCCACAAACAGCAGTAAACGTTGCTCTCATTTGTTCTAAAAACTATCATTATAGAGAAGTGTTCACCATCAACAATTATTTCCCCATGAAACCCCCAGTGACTGTTTACAGCACACTGGGCACCACAAGCCTGAGCAAGCTGTGTGCAGAGACAGCTCACTGCCTGCAGCGTCTCCCCAGGGCTTGGGTGCCAAGAGCTTCAGGAAGACAAGCACCATACTTACAGTTCTGATCAGAATCTTCTATCAATATCCTCAACTTCTGAACACAGAGCTGCAAAAAAAAGACCTTATCACGTTGGTTACAATTCTCAGTTCAAATAACTCTCTAGAAAGTTTACTCAATGCACAAGGAAGTGTCTGTACAAGACCCAGAGCCTCGAGGTGAGTCTTGTGGCAGTAACAGACTTCCAAACAGAAGGAACCCCTGTATGACTGGATTGATAGTAGGAGCTGAATAGAGTTGGGAAAACTCTAAATGAGAAGAATCTGCATTTTAGAGTGAAAGCAGCAAGAGAGTTTGTATAGGAAATGCTTCAGTGTGCACGACTGCACCTGAGTGAGAGCACTTCAGGGAGTTACTGCTGTGACTTCTGGCAGAGGAACATAACCCCATGGCCCTTGGGATCCCACAGGAGAGTACAACAAACAACTCCCAACCCCTCCAAGCCAGGGTGGTACCTGGATGCTGGCGCTGTGGTTGGGCATCCCTGAGGACAGAGAGATCAACACTGGAACACAGAAGCACAAACTCCAGTCAGTATTGCTGTGCTCCACATGACTGCAACAACACAACACCTAAAGGCCCACACCTAGCTCAGCTCCCAGGGAAAGGTGCCATTTTGTTTTGTTGTTTGTCTGTCTGCTTGGACTTTTGGGGGGCACAGAGGGAGGAGAGAAGGTTGTGACATGATCTGTAGTTTCACAGACCTTAACAGGAATCATAAGAGGGCAGGAAAAGAGCATAAAGGTGAAACGTGCTGGAAGAGCCAGGTCACAGCTGCTTTTCAGTCTGCCTTGCTCTCACTAAGGTTCACTTCACTGACATCACACAGCAGTCAGGGCTGTAAACACGTCAGCAGCCACTGCACAGCTGAGTTTTCAAGTGTGCACTTTGCTAATGCAATGAGATGCAGCAATGGATCCTGGAGTTCAGCGTGATTAGATTGTATCTTTAATCAAGCCAACCAGAGACTCACAGCACAAATCAGGCCCCTTTGCTGAGGACACAGGACATTTTAAAGCTCTGGCAGCACACAGCCCCAGGGCAGAAAAGGTGGAGCTCCCCTGTTAACTGCTGCTATCACACAGCGTGTCCTAGGCCATCTCAGCTCTGACTGAGCAGTGCTGAGCTCAGTGACATTTGGCTCTCTGTAACCCCTCAGAGCTGCACTGCAGAGGTGTGCTGAACAGTGTCACTTTGGGCTATGCCCAGAGCTGGCAGGTGCCAGTGCTGCTCTGGTGCAGGCACAGAGCTTCAGGGCTCATGTCCTGACTCTGTGTGACACCACAGGCCCTGAGGCATCCTGGGTAGGTGAATCCCCTCTGTCCCACAGCATCACCCCACTGAATCTCAGGGAAACACTCTCTCATCCACAACAGAAATACCCTCTGTGTTAATTTTCCCTCCCACCATGTCATCTCACATGCCCCTGAAGAAATGAAGGTACACACAGGGAGTGAGAGACCACCCTTCCCTCTCTGAACTGACCCAGCACAGCAAGGCCCTGAATGACTCCCCGAGTACCTACAGGAGAGAGGCTTATGGTCAAAGCATGGACGACAAGAACCTCCTGCTCCATGCAGATAAGAAAAGTGCCACATCTGAGCTGGAATACTGTGTTATCCTTTTTGGCTTTGGTCCTCTCTCCTTCCCTGTTATGGAGTTCACATCCCTTCCCCAGAAACTCAAACTGCAAGTTAGTAATTACCTCCTCTAAGGAATTACACCAAGTTTTTAAGCTGTGAAGCTGCAGGATTAAAAAGAGTCTGATCCATCATCACATAAGAAAACTCTGCCAAAGAGGCATCAGTCTTAATTCTGCTGCTGCTGGTATATTTTGTAGTTGTAGCAACATTTAGGAGGTTGCATGTAAATAGCTTCATTGTTTGCACTGGGTTTCAGCCTTTAGCAACCACTACACAGTTGTACTAACTGTGCCTCATCCACTGACACCAAAGGATTTCAGTCCCACAGGAACTAAAGGTTTGCCAGGAAACTTATTCCAGTTATATATAGCATAACATGTATTTATACACATATATATGTGTATATGTGTGTGCGTGTGTTCAAAGGAGAAATTGAGATTAGATGTTAGGCAGAAGTTTTCCCTGTGAGGGGGGTGAGACATTGGCACAGGTTGCTCTGGGAGGCTGTGGCTGCCCCGGCCGTGGGGGGGTTTCACAGCCAGGCTGGATGAGCCTTGAGCAACCTGCTCTGCTGCGAGGTGTCCCTGCCCTGCCCAGGGCGTGGCACTGGATGACCTTTAAGGTCCATCTCAACCCTGTAACATACTATGATTCTATTATTCTATAAAATACATTCAGTTAAAAAAAAAAAAGGGTCACAGATGGTGTTAACTGATGGCAAAGTTCATCATGTGTTTTTCTAGGTTACAAGTTTCAGTTCTCACCTGCTATTACTGTGTTCACACATTCATATAAGAGAGACATGGCTGAGGTGCTGAAACAGAAATCAAGGATTCTGTAACATACTATGATTCTATTATTCTATAAAATACATTCAGTTAAAAAAAAAAAAGGGTCACAGATGGTGTTAACTGATGGCAAAGTTCATCATGTGTTTTTCTAGGTTACAAGTTTCAGTTCTCACCTGCTATTACTGTGTTCACACATTCATATAAGAGAGACATGGCTGAGGTGCTGAAACAGAAATCAAGGATTTCAAATAAGGAATAAACCAGCACATTTTCAAGAGTTGTCAGCAGCATCTTAGAGCTAGTTAACACCTTTAATGTCACAAGAAATCACCAGTATTCTGTTCATATCCCTACAGAGACAGGAAATGATTCTCACAAACTGTTGGGGGAAGAATTTTTAAACTGAATGATAAAAAAGAAATCTTGGAGAAGTAGCAAGTAAGAGCAGTGTCACTAGGAATGAGGAAGGAAGCAGTTACTCAAACCTCAGCACCAGTAACAGAGCACTGAAGAAATCTTGTCCCAGAATCAAATTAAATCCTCTGCCCAAGGTCAGAAATCCATGATAAAGCAGACAGAGAACCTCAGGTCTCTCTCCAGGCGCATGAGTCGTGTCCCAGCAGCAGACTCTGCTGTGCAGGTACACACTGCTCATCCCTGGGAGTCAGGAACCCAGTTCCAATGTCTGATTTCCCCCAGAACTCAAATTCAAGATGACTTTTGCCAGCTGAACACACAGACAGTGCAATTCTGAGGGTTGCAAAGGTCCTTACAAGCCCTGAGTTACACTAGAGGGAAAAAGTGAACCTTCCAAGTACAAAGGGAGTAGACTCCAGCAGTAAGGCATGCCCAGGGAAGGAGCAAACAGCTCTGGAGGCAGCAGGAAGGTCACTCAGCACACCAGGGAGGTGACCTTGTCATGCTCAGACCCAACACCATCACTGCTGCTCCCTGTGCAGCCTTCCTGGCAGCTGTCAGGGTGGTTTGACTCATGCTAAGTGCTGTGAGATCCAAAACGTCTCACTGGAGACCAAACCAAAAAGGATTCAGTTCTCATAGCTAATGAAATGAATGACTACGGTGGGAGTTGGGGAGAGGAGGTAGAGGCAAGAGTGAATTGCTGTCCATCCTCCTGCTTTTTCTGGTGAATTGTATCTCTGTGTTTCCAATGCAAACCCCTCAGCAGGTATTTGGCTGCCAAGCTGCTCTGTGCCTGCCTAAAAGGTAAACAAGGAGGATACACAGGAATTGTTTGGCTACAACTGCACCCGTGGCTACAGGGATATCCGTTCCAAACACACTCATTCCCATTTATCATCTTGAAGAGAAATAAACCTTTGCATTTAACAACTCCTGCATAAGATCACACTCCCTTTTCCTAACTGGAAGAATACATGTATTCCCCACAAGGCATCTACTTCCTGATTTCAGTTCAGAAGCAAACAAAAAACCACTCCAAATTGATTTTAGTAAAGGACGAGAAAATATCTTCAATTTTATCTAATCAAAATTTAGGTCACATAATATCAGGACCTCTCCCCAAACACATCTGAGCTGCCAAAGGCACGAGAACGGGTGTTAACGTACTCCCTTGTCACACTGCTTCGGGGGGTAAGGCACTTCCAGAGAAACCAGAAATCAAATGTGTGAGGTGAACAGGAGAGGCAAAGATACAGCTGAGGCTTTTTTAAGCCAGGGTTTTCATACATCCTCCAGTCATCTCTGCCTTAAAATGCAGTGAAAGGAATAAATTGCTCCAATTTTCACACAAGTCTTGGAGGAAGTCATGCTAACAGCCAGACACAAAGTTTCCTTTAAAGCATTTTACCTCACTCAGGTTTTTCAGAAAGAGTCCTGATGTGATTATCTTCTGGTACTTAAAGGCAATATATTGAAACTCAGAAAGAGTTGAGAGCTGCAGCCCCAGGTACTGCCCCACCCCCAGGCACCCCCCAGTCCTGAGTGAACCCAGCAGACTCTGTCACACATACCTGTGGATGAGGTTGGTCAGGGGCTCAATCAGTTTCTTTCCCAATCTCGGTTCTAATGGAGTAAGAGCACCAAACTATTCAAAGAGAAGTGCAGACAACAAAGTGATGTAATAGCTGCAGTTAAACAGCACCTAACCATGATTTAAAACAAGTTATATTAACCTATTTTTCTCTTTGGTATTTCACAAACATTAGAAGACATTCTTGAGTCCTTTTTGTTCAGATTTAATGGCCACTAAACCTCCCAGCAAGAAATCCATTTTCACCCCAAGGTGACTGAATGAGAACCCCAAACCCTGTAAACAAAAAGCAGGATACTTGCCAGTTTTATAATTTTAATGAGAACCCAATTATTGGTTGATGATGTCATCAACTTGAAGAAGAGTGGAGCAAGGGACAGGTAGTTTTTGGGGTTGCGTCGAGCCAACTCACAGATCACATTGACTGCAGCAGACTGCACTCCTGGGAAACAAGGAGGAAAGCAGGAATCTCATCAATGCCTTAACAGGAAGTGAAGTTTCTGGTGCAGAACCCCCAGAGCAAAAGCAGCTGAAGGTTCAGACCTGTGCTGAACATTTGGCCTCGTTCCCAGCTCTGAGGTAGTGGTGTAAACACAAGGATGCAAAAGCAAACAGAAAGGATTTTATGGAATTCTGGCTGTTTTCTAATGTATCAGTGGGCTTGGAATCTGCTTTGGGACACTGCAACATCCTTCCCCTTGACTGTGCATACCTGGCTGTGGGACACAGACAACACCTCAATCAATAATCTCCCAACAGAAAGCCTCCAAACACACTTCATTCTCTAAAGTGCATTATTTAGACACGTTTAAACAGAGCACAAAATATAATGAGCCCTTAAACAATCAGACTGGACACGTTTTCTTCCCTCTCACTGCTCAGCCTCTAAAGTGATTGGTCTCAGTTTGGAATTATTTAGTGGAACCAGGCTGGGAATTGGAGCACAGAGCAATCCTTCTCTCCTTGTCTGCAGATAAGGGATGTCTGTGTTTTGCATTCTTTAACAACACAGTCCCTGGAAGATGCATCTCCCATGCCCACAATAAATTAATCCAGTACTTGCAGTTAAATTTCTCTCTAAATGCAGAACAAAATCAAGTGGAGATCACAGAAATGCCCCACACACAGAGCTCCTGAAACAAGTGCTTTGGTGCAGTGAGAAACACCAACACCTCCTGAATAGGAGTGAGAACGCGGATATGATACAGAGTAATTGCAAATTACTGTGCTGCTGCT